AGAGAGAAAGAAAAGAAAAGAAAAGAAAAGAGAAGAGAAGAGAAAGAAAGAAAAGAAAAGAAAGAAAGAAATGAGGCTCAAGATTTGGTAACAAGGGAATCCCAGCCAGACGCCAGGACTGGATCCCATGTGCTGTGGAGTGAGAGGTGCCAGGCAAGGCACAAACACTGCCCTCAACCCCAGGGCAGGCAGGGAGACCTGGTAGCCTTGCAACCCAGAGATAGCTCAGTGACTTTTGCTCACTCTCTCCTTCCCCGGCTTCCTCGTGACCCTTGGCTGCCTGCTGCCAGTCTGAATGGCCATCACCTCCATCCCACCCATTCCCATGTGTACAATCTCTAGCCCCAACCCTCAGGGCTGCAGTCTCTGGAGCCCCCAGATACATCCCAGCCCTTCCCACTTCTCCTCTTTCCAAGTAGGGCACCAGGTTCTTTACTTTGCTTTATTGTTTGTGGGGTGAAGATAAGTCCTTGGGCTTGAGGAAGTCAGTGTCATAAAGTTATAAACTGGGAGATGGGGTAAGAAGGCACAGAGGACAGTCACCGCCCATCTTCCCTTTCTGCAGATGAGGTGGGTCAAGGTCAGCCCCCTGGCTAGGGCCTAAGACGCAAGGGCTTCAGAGCTTGGAGAAGGTGACGTTTTTCAGCTCCTTCTTCTCGGTCGCGGCCTGGACCGACTTGATGAGGTCCTGGGTCTGCAGCATGCTCATGTTCCAGGACGCCTGGTGCCGAGGGCGTGGGAAAGAACCGGCGAGAGGTTAGCAGGGGCCAATCAGGATAAGGCATCCAATCACCCTGCGCCTTGATTGGTCGCCTGGGGTTAGAGGAGGGCTGTGATTGGTCGGAGCGTGCGCCTTACCATGTAGTTGAGGCCCTCAGCCACCGAATGGTCGCGAGAGTAGAGCAGGTTGACCTTGATGCCCTGCACCGCCACGGGGCTCTTGCTGGAAATCTCGGCTGCCAGCGCTAAGGCTGCATCGAGCATGACTTCCTTGTCTGGGAACACCCGGCTGCAGCGAAAGAGATTGGCGCCCGGGCGGGCTAGGAAGGGCTCTCTCCCCCAGTCTCCCGCAGGTGAAGAGGAGCCACTCACGGAGGAAGGCCCAAGACCTCAGACAAACAGCCCAACAGGAGCAGGGGGCTGACGTCTAGAGAAATGACCTCTCCAAGAAAGAATGCCACTGGGAACTCTGGAGCAAGGAGACAAGGGGACCCAGAGAAGCCTCCATCCCTTCAGGCCTGGCTGCCCCCAGCACTGAGCCACCAGGGCCTAACACCTACCTGACCAGCCCGCTGCTCAGGGCCTCGTCAGCCATCATCTTGCGGGCGGTGAAGGCCAGCTCGTTGACAAGGCTGCAAGGGGGGAGCATGCATCAGGAGGTGGCTGCCACCCCAGGGCTGGGAGACGCTCTCTGGTCCCCCACCCACACCCCCACACCCTCTGCACCCACCTCTGGTTCCCAATGACCCTGGGCAGGCGCTGCAGTGTTCCTACATCGGCAGCCAAACCTATGTCCACCTCCTGGGGGAGGAATCCGGTCGGTGTTTGGTTTCTGCCCAATGTTGTGCCCCATGCAACCCCATGTCCATGAAATTTCATGTTTACTGCAGAGTCCCCCCCACCACCTCCGCCTCAGTGACTCCCTCCAAAGCCCTGTTCAATTGCCCAGACAGCTTCTTGACCCGGGCAGGTTCCTTCAACCTAACAGAGCCCACCTTCCCACTCACCCGCCTCCCACTTCTTCAGAGCAGCTCTATCTATCACCAGAGAGGCACCCTCCTCACCCTACCCGAGACCCCTTTACTGCGTCCCCCTGGATCCATCCTGCCTCCCACCCTCACCAGTATGGCCCCAGGGGCAATCCCTGCCCCTGGCACCTGCCAGCCTTAACCCCACCCCACACCTTACCCACTCACAACTTCACGTCTTGACTTCCTCTTTGGCCAAGTCTTTTTTTTTTTTTTTTTTTTGAGAAGGAGTTTTGCTCTTGTTGCCCAGACTGGAGTGCAATGGCACGATCTCGGCTCACCGCAACCTCCGCCTCCTGGGTTCAAGCAATTCTCCTGCCTCAGCCTCCCGAGTAGTTGGGACTACAGGCACGCACCATCATGCCCAGCTAATTTTTGTATTTTTAGTAGAGATGAGGTTTCACCTTGTTGATCAGGATGGTCTCGATCTCTTGACCTCGTGATCCACCTGCCTCGGCCTCCCAAGGTGCTAGGATTATAGGCGTGAGCAACCGCGCCCGGCCTTGGCCAAGTCTTACTTTGTCAGGTTTGACTCTGACTCTTCCATGAAGCCCTCGGGGCTCACTCCAGCCCCCCAATCCCACCCCACTGCCCAGCTCTAAGCAGGAGCTCAGGAGGATGACTCACCTTCACCTGGAAGAAAGCATCCTGGGCACAGTACCGGATGTCACAGGCAGTGACAAGGTCCACACCTAAGAGGTAGAGGCCAGGGATGCTGAATGACCACCAGAACCACCCCCGCCTCCCGAAACATGGAGCTGCTGCCTCTTGGGACACAGTCTGAACCTCTGACAGAGCAGAGGTTGGATGCCAGTGGCCGTGGCATCAGGGCAGCAGCGTGACCCAGGGAGCACCCGAGCAGGAGGACAGTTGCAGACTCACCTCCGCCAATGCAGCCTCCGTGGACGGCAGCAATCACAGGCTTGGGGCACTGAGATGGAACAGGAAGAGTGGTGTCAGGGCTGGCCCAGGGGAGGCGGGCATGGAGAGGGATACCCTCCAGCCCC